AAAAAAATGAGATGGCAAAATGATATTATGAATGCAAAAACAAGTGCAGAATGAATGGAAAAATGTGGAATGAATGTAAAGAATGTGGAAAGCAATTAATAATAAATTTTAATAAGATTGAACCAAGCTTGGACCAAAGTTCTAATTTGCTGCGGAGCTCAATTCTTTCTTGACAACCTGTATCACAAGGACTTGAAAAGAGGAGAAATTAAAGCATCCAGTCTTATAATCAAGAAAATATATTGTGTAAAATAAATAAGAGAAAAAGATTGTGAGTTCATCTTTTTTAATTTTCAAAGCAATACATGACTAATGAATTAAATTTATATACATATTAATGTAGAATTTATGTCTTGATATTATTGATATTTGAATGAGTTGTATGAAAATTTATTAATTGTATATAACATTCATTCTATGTAGAAAAGGATTTAATTAGAAGAGGTCATAATTTTTAGGAATAAATTGCAAAGATATGAAGTTTGAGGATTAAATTATGCAGAATCCAAAAGTAAGGGGTCGGGACTGTAATTTTACCGTTAACAAAATTTGCAGAGAAGGACAAAAACCCGACACGGACTCTTCAGGACGAATGCAGGAAAAGTGTCGGCACCTTGTTGAGGGTGTTGACACCTTGCAGCTCGTGCTGCATTTCTTTCAACTCATGCTCGTCCTCTGCACCTCGTGTTCAAGTTCTGCACTTCATGCTCGGCCTCTGCAGCTCGTGGCTGACCTTGGCAGTAAGTGTTTGACCTCTGCAGCTTGTGTTTGAGCTTTGTAGCTCATTCTCAACCCCTGCACTTCGTGCTCGACCTCTGCAGCTCGTGTTTGAGCTCTGTAGCTTGTGTTTGAGCTCTGCAGTTCGTGGTTGAGCTATGTAGCTCGTGCTTCAGCATCTTGAACCTCGGACTTCTGCATTTCGCAGCTCGTGATTCAGCAATTATCATTTCAGACTTCTACAGTTCGCAGCTTGTACACGAGCAAGATGCTTGCAGCTCGTGCTCCAGCATTTCGCAGCTCGTGCTTAAGCAAGATGCTTGCAACTTCTCATTGTCGAGCTTGAGTAATGGAGCCCAGCCATAGTCAGCCTAGCCATAGCTGCTTAGTCTTCTTCTGTCATTGGAACCACAGGCTCTTGTTTCCTAGTAGCTGATTGGATTCTTACTTAAGTGACTTTAGACTACGAAAGAAAGGATGACAATATTGCTAAAGCTTCTTCCCCAATTGCCTGAAAGTACTTACTTTCTAACCAGCTACGTACCTTCAAAATCAATTTTCATTAATTACATATATGTAAAGTAGAAACCAAAATGCAAAGTTATAAAGGCAAAAAACCAATATCTAGAATTGAATCCTGTGGAAGAAGAACAGTAAAATCCAAAAAGCTAAAAAGACTTTTGAGTAGGTTTTCAGAGGGTTGCAAAAATGTAGTAGATTCTACTTCTTGAGATCTGGTGAAACTTGTGCAGATGGCTGCAAAAAATGAAAGAGATTTTATTCGAAAATGATGCAATCTTAGAAAATATGGAGTAATGGAGAAAAGAATGAAGGCAGTGAAAGTGGTGGACGCTGGAAGTGCACTGCTTTGAGCTTTGCCGCTGCCGAGCTGGACTGCTTTGTTGCTGCCGAACTGGACTGTTTGGTTGCTGTTGAGTTAGGCTGTTGTGCTGCTGCCAAGCTGGTGTGCTGCTTTGGGCTTTGGCACTGCCGAGCTGGACTGCTTTGTTGCTGCTGTGCTTGGCCGCTTTACTTTGAACTTTACTGCTGCCGAGCTGGGTTGCTCTACTGCTGCCGAGCTGAACTGCCTCGCTTCTGCCGAGCTGGAGCATTATTTTGAGCTTTGCTGCTGAGCTGGGTTGTTGTGCTGTTGCCGAGCTGGGATGCTCTGCTGCTGCCATCAAGCTCGAACTCAGCTTCTCATTGAGGGCAATAACACGCCTTTTGGCTGAGAGGTGAGGCTACAGTTCTTCATGAGCAGAGGACAACGGTATTCAAGCATCGCAGAGTATGACAAGGTCGGCATCTCAGACTATGACAAGGTCGGAAGGCTTAAGGCGTTGGCGGATGGCGCAGGTGGTGGCAGCCATGTGGCCTAGCTTTGCTGCTGAGCTGGGTTGTTGTGTTGCTGCCGAGCTGGGCTGCTCTACTGCTACCATCAAGCTCGAGCTCATATTCTCACCGAGGGCGCCATGTTTGTCGAGCTCATACTTTTTTTTTCTTTTTTTTTTTTGAACTTTCATGGTCCCGTGCTCTCTTTTTCTATTTTTATTTGTGGACCCCACTAAGTTATCTGTGTTTCGCTGACTTTTTTTTTTTTTTTGCTTCTTGAATACTCATTACTGACATTGTACTATACCTCGATAGTTGTGCAAAGCTACTCCTTCATTTGTTCTCTTGTGAAAGCTTTTCTTCTTCGCAGGCGAATAAACCCCTTTCATCACATTTGCTTTTGCAACTCAAGTGTAAATTTATCAGATCTGCGTAAATTTATCAGATCTGCTTCTGCAACTCAAGTGACCCCTTTCATCACATTTGCTTCTGCAAC